GCCACCCACAGGAACTGTTCCCCATGGGTAAAATCAAACCCCAAAAATAAAGAAAAATTGAATTATGATGTTTTTTTGTTAAAGAGTTCGTACCCAGGGTGAGGATGGAAATCACAGTCACATTTTCACTCCGTGGTGCCTCTGTCCTGGGGAGTTTCTGTTCTGTGGCATTTCCACCGGGTGCTGCCTCAGCCCCTGGAGGAAAGGGAAGGGGAAAATATTTCCGAATTTTCTTAAATTTAAGAAAATTCCGTTAAAAATAGTTTCAGAAATGCTTAAGTTATTTTCTTAAACTTAAACGTTTAAGGAAAAAAGTTTAAGAAATTGTTATTTCCTCAGCAGCGTCGGTGCCCAGGGAATCAGGCACTGCCCATGGCTTGGTCTGTGCTCACCTGCCAAACTCGATATTTAATTTTATTCTGAACAATAAAACCTCCCTAACTCTATATTTAATTTTATTCTGAACAATAAAGCTTCATGGACAGCAAGTCCTCAGTCTCTAACACATCGTTAAAGAAAACAATTTACAGTTAAATTAAAACCGAGCTGAACTTGATTGTTTTTGAGCTTTCCCTGTGCTTTACTTTGCTCCYCTTGCCTGAAAAACCAACAATAAGCAGAAATCCTTCTCCTTAAAGAAGATATTTTGGTTTTCGAGCCCTTGGCCTCTCCTTTAGTGACAAGCTCTGTCCCTTTCCRCCACCCCCGAGTGTGATGAGGTGAATTCTCACACTGAAATCATCAAAACTCGATGAAACTCCCATTTTTCCTGCTGATTCTGGTATTTCTGCAGACAGAAAGGTGAGCTTTGACTTTCTTATGGACACAAAGCGATCCTCATGTAAAATTATATTGATTATATATATATATTTATAGTGTAATTGAGTTCGATTTGCAAAGCTGAAATGATGTTGTGTACTGTGTGCACCAGAACTTTGCATTAATAAGAAAWTTTCCTTTTTATCAGATAAGCACACCTGGTAAAAACCCCAGAATTCCAGGATGGTTTGGGGTTGGAAGAGACTTTAAAAATCCTGTGATTTGATCCCTAAAAAGATTCAGGCTCCTTTCCCATGCRYRKTTATCAACACACATCAGRATTTATCGGGATGGARCCATTCTGTGGTGTTTAAACAYRGATAAATCACTTTTAAATCTAAAAWTTTAAAATCTAAACCGAGAGTTTGTGCATTTCTAAAGCAGCAGTTGTTTTGTTATTGCATGGCCTGTTGTGCTAAGCAGCTGCAAACMCCTTGGTGTGGTTTTGGGGTTTTTTTCCGATTTATTTGGGCTGTGGAGCTGGGAAAATTCCCGATTTTTGGAAGCACAGCCAGGTGGGAGCAGGGATGAAGAGTTGTCGCACAGTGCCATCTAGTGCAGTCCATCCGGAGCATCCCAGCCCGGCTGCACCGCCTTCCTCCCCTTCCTCCTCAGAGCACAGAGATTTTGGGACGATGGGAGGATGAGGGAAATGCTGCTCTCCCTGTCCCAAACCCCCGGGATGCGGGATGGAACCTGAACCTGCACCAGGGCTGCGTTTGGGATTCCAGATTTGATAAATTCGGGTAAACAAACCCAAACTCACCGTGGGATGGGACAACTGGGAGAGTTTGATGGGCTGGGGTTGGGGCTGAGCTGGGATCTGCTGGGGATTCCGGGGATGCAGAATAGCTGGGATCTGCTGGATTCCCTGAAGGGTTGGGATCTGCTGGATCTTTTGGGGATGGAGAAAGGTTGGAATCTGCTGGATTCTCTGGGGATGCAGAAGGAGCGAAATCTGCTGGATTCTCTGAAGGGCTGGGATTTCCTGGATCTTTCAGGGTTGCAGAAGAGCTGGGACATCCTGGATTCTCTGAAGAGCTGGGATCTGCTGGATTCCCTGAAGGGCTGGAACCTGCCGGATTTTTTTGGGTTGTGTAAGGGTTGCGATCTGTTTGAATCTCTAGGGATGCAGAAGGGTTGGGAACTTCTGGGGATTCTGGGGATGCAGAAGGTCTGGGATCCCCTGGATTCTCTGAAGGTCTGGGATCTGCTGGATATTTTGGGGTTGCAGAAGGGCTGGGATATGTTGGAATCTCTGGGGATGCAGAAGGGTTGGGATTTGCTGGATTTTTTTGGGTTGCAGAAGGGCGGGGATCTCCTGGATTCTCTGAAGGGCTGTAACCTACTGGATTTTTTTTGGGATGCATAAGGGCTGGGATTTGTTGGAATCTCTGGGGATGTAGAAGGGTTGGGATCTGCCAGGGATTCTGGGGATGCAGAAGGACTGGGACCTTTTGGATCCTCTGAAAGGCTGGGA